GGTCGCCGGCGTAGCTAAGTACCCGAAGAAAGTGATCCGTAAGGACTCTGCGAAAAAGCAGGCGAAGAAATCACGCGTCAAGACTTTCATCAAGCTTGTCAATTACAACCACATCATGCCTACTCGTTACACACTGGATGTTGATTTGAAGGAAGCCGTTACTGTCGATTGCCTTCAGTCACGTGATAAGAAGGTTACTGCTGCTAAGGAGGCCAAGGCTAAGTTTGAAGAGCGATTCAAAACCGGGAAAAATCGCTGGTTCTTCACTAAGCTTAGATTTTGAGTGGTTTGCTCTTAATTTGGTAATTTTCTGTTCTGGATATTCAGAATATTTTCTCTGTTTTGTTTTGTTCTTGTTCAAACAACTTTTAATTTGAAATGATAGATCTGGTTTTATCTTTAATCATAATTCGTATTGCTAATGTTTTCTATATCTATACTTCTTACAAGTGATTAATATAATATTGCAGTTGTTATGAGTGAAATGAACATCACTGTGTGTATTATCAGTGTATACCTAACATGTTGACAAATCTCAAATTAGTAGTATGATCTTTGATAAGTGCAACTAGTTTGTTTCCATATTGGTGTATGGTGGTTACAATTTAAGATTGTTGTTGGTCTTTACCAGTGTATAGGTGTATGTTATGGTATTACATGAGGTATGTTGTTGTAGTGAAAACACATAAGCTGTGACTGTAGAGAATTTGAGTTCGTAATATATATTGCTTTCTGAGGCGTTGCATGCATTGACCTATTAATGTTTGATGGATGTGTCAAGGAAAGCATAGAATGATGTCAATCCAAAGTCATTTAGTGAGTTAAGTAAACTGTTTTCTTATCTAGTTTGCTTGATAGTTGGATTGCAACATGATCAGAATTCGTCTGTCTTGTGTAAATGTTTCCTTAGAAGTGACTTCAGTTTTTGTTCTTAATGATTATGTGTTGCTTCATATGGTGAACTCTCTCTTAAAATTGAAGTGAGGGATGTTCAAGTTTCCGAAGCATAAATGAATAGTCAGTATTAAACAGCATGGTGTATTTCAATTGCATCTTGCTACCTGTCTCCTGCTACATCCTATTTTGTCATTTCCAAGCTTTAGGAGAAGTCCTATCTTCTTCCTGAGATTGAAAGAATGCAATGTAGTTGTTCTGATATTTACTTTCAAATTATAGCAAGTGCTGTTTAGAGTATGATCAGTGTTTGACAAATCCCAAATTAGTAGTATGATCTTTGATAAGTGCATCTAGTTTGTTACCACTATATTGGTGTATGGTGGTTGCAATTTAAGATTGTTGCATGACATTTACCAGTGTATAGGTGTATGTTATGGTATTACATGGAGTATGTTGTTGTAGTGAAAACACATAAGATGTGACTGTAGAGAATTTGAATTCGTAATATATATTGCTTTCTGAGGCGTTGCGTGCATTGACCTATTAATGTTCGATGGACGTGTCAAGGAAAGCATAGAATGATGTCAATCCAAAGTCCTTTAGTGATTTAAGTATACTGGTTTCTTATCTAGTTTGCTTGATGGTTGGATTGCAAGATTGTAATTATCAAAATTCCGTCTGCCACTTACCCTGTGCGCACCCAAAGTGTAACGGCTGCGGGTTTTCCTTGTCATAAAAAAAATTCCGTCGGCCACTTCTCAGTTTTTTTATTCTTGTTGTTTATGTGTTGCTTCATATGGTGAACTCTCTCTTAAAATTGAAGTGAGGGATGTTCAAGTTTCCGAAGCATAGATGAATAGTCAGTATTAAACAGCATGGTGTAAGTCGATTACATCTTGCTACCTGTCTCCTGCTACATTCTATTTTGTCATTCTAAGCTTTAGGATAAGTCCTTTCTTCTTCTTGAGATTGAATGAATGCAATTTAGTTGTTCAGATATTTACTTTCAAATTGTAGCAAGTGCTGTTTAGAGTACAATCATCATTGTTTGGTTTACGATTTCTCAGTCATACAAGAAGGTATAGTTATTACTCTTGTCAAATTTGATATGAGTTACATGCATGATATGGATGACATTAGTAATTTGAGCTAGGGTCAGTGATTTTGTTTCTGTCCTGCTGTTTATTGAGTCACTTATTTGACCAAGGGATGTCTTCTAATTCACATAACATTACCTTATTTTTGATATATTTGCATCCTCTGGTGCATATTGTTGAAAATGTTTTCTTCATCCAACGGACAGTTTTGTTTGCTATCATGTTGTAAGCATAGTTGCCAAACCAGTTTTATTTCAAAGTTGCAAAGCTCAAGAAAAAACTTGGAAGAAGAGTATTTGTTAGTTACTCAAGAGTTTTAACAATTTATCAGTGTTTGCAACCGTTAACCTGTTTTGATTAATAATCTTTAGTCTATGGTATTTTAATCATGATGATTGAATTTGCTTATCACAAAATGGAAAGGGAAACGATTCATTTGTTAATGTTTCTGTAGATACTCACTTCTCTTGATTGGTAGAAACATGTTCAAGGTTGTTGTTTTAATCTTATTTTAAATGAGTTCAATTGTCAAACCTAAGAGATGAGGAGAAAAAAAAATAACAGTAATAAAGAGTAGTTATGTATATGTAATTTATATTTATAATAATGACCTATAAGTCAGAATAAAGGATGTGTAATGTATATTATATAGATATTTAAATAAAAATAGAGAACAATGAAGAGGGTTTATAATCTATGGTAGCTCTGGGAAGATGGTAAAAAAACTACTACTTTATATTGGACTTGTCTTCATAAAACTTCTTGTTATTATTTTTGCTGTTTGTTTTGTATACAAAAAAATTTATTGAGCCATTTATTTGGATACTATTTTTTGGGCCCGTTTAAGTACAAAATTTCTGGATTTCATTAGTTTAGTTCTTTTTGACCCGTAATCTTAGAATTTCACTAGGTGGATGGGATTGTTTTTGCAATTTCTTTTGATAAAAATGTAGTAAGAACTATTTTTTTTGACGACTTTTTGTGGAAATGAGTCAATTTGACTATAAGAAATTTTATGTAAAGCAATTATTATTTACTCAAGTCAAAAATATTTACACTTCATTTTTGGTTGAGCGGTCACATGTGCCGCCCTCTTAGATGCTGTATAAATCGAAAATATAAGAATACCTTCAATTGGTTGGCATTTTTATGACAATAATATAATATAACTAATACCAATAATTGTTATAGTAAGATTTAAAATTTGGATAACTACTTTGTGATAAAACAAAACTTTTCTTAATGCTTTTATCTTCTTTGGATCCGGTCGGATAAGAGATTAATATTTTTTGATATAAATATATGAAATGAAATAACTAAATTTGGCCATTTTCTGGCTAGTCAAACAAGGAAGCAAACAGAAGAGTAATACACTCCTATAATATGCTTTCTATATTAGAAGCAGAAGAGTGGAATATGTAATCGTTCGAGAGATGGTTCGGTCTATCATAGTTAAAGTATAGAGTATCGTTTCATCTTATGATAACCTGATTCTTCTGTAGCTGTTTGTCAAATCATTTAGCTCTTCTCATCATTCTTGTATTTACAATGCATGGCTGGCTTACTTATACATACATGTATGATTGTACCACCATGTTTAATATGTTGAACTTATACATAAAATATATTACTTATAAATAATTCATTTTTCTAATCGATATGAAAAAAACATCAAAGACACTCTCTGGATCTCCAATATTTCCCAAACAAATCCCAAGAAATTGTACTAGATCAAGCTTGCCTTACTTTTCCTCTTGGGTAAAATAATAGTGACAAAGCAACGTGGGCCATTGAAGCTACTTGGAGTAACATGATAACTACTGTATTATATTTGTTTTCAAAATGGGGTATAGAAACAGACGTGACAAACTAGTACAAGCATTTCTTTACAAAATTTTCAGCAACTTTATACTCCAATTGCTATGATTTATTTGTCAAATATTTTCTAATTTAATGTCATTTTTTGACAAACCAAGAAAGTATGATTTATTTTTTTCTATTATATTCTCAATTTGTTTACATTAAGTTAATATTTTTTAAAAATATAGTGAGTAAATATATTTAAGATTTTATCAATTAATATTAGGTAAAATAAACTCTCTATACCAATTAATATTTTTTTAATATATGTGTAAAGTCAAAATTTAACAAATAAAAAATGACACACAGATTATTATTCATCATGTGGGGTTCGTTACTTGTCCACATTGGGGCAGAGTTATATGATCCGGAAGGTCATAATTCAATTGAATGCCTTTCTGAGAAAAATATATTAGAAAATAAACTAAAATTGTTATTTATATTAAAAATATAAATCCCTTAATATAAAATAAAAAAATGAATTTAGAAGTGGCTTAGCACGGTTCAAACTTCAGTTACTCAGTCCATCTCTAATTTATTGTTTATTCGTTCGGTAGCAGATCTTTTATAATTGAGCAATTCGGATTAGCTCTGATTTGCTTAGAAAATGTTATTTGGGGACAATATATGGATCAATTAGATATAAATTGATATCAATAACTCAGAATTTGGTAACCTCACCTTCATTAACAACTACACATGAATCCTTTTTGTTTTATGGTCATCATGTCAAGTTTTAAATCGAACTAATTAATTGTCCCAAATAGTTCATGAAACAAATTGATCGTATTACTAGTTTTTGAATACGAGATATGATCCCTCCTTTTGAATTTGGTAAAATTGCTTCACTCGAAATTCTATTATGAATTCTTCTATGTTTTTGAGTAAATATGACCGATTCACTAGCACTTTTTGTTTCTTGAATTTTCTAGATTAAGGTTAAATATTTGTAGTACTCCAAAATTAACCACAAAAAAAAAGTCAATTTATTTAGAACACCTAATAATCAAGAGAGATAATATTAAATTCCAAGGAAACTATGTTTTTTCCCTTGGAAGAGATGTGAATATATTTTATTGTATAATTATAGTATTGTGTAATGAATTAGGGATTATGATAATGGTAGTACTATTATTAATAGGAGTATAGTATTTTATGTTTGAGGAAAGATTCAAACACAAAAATACAAAAACCTCACTTCAATGTGTCTTACAAAGATGAATAATTCCAAAAAGTCATCAACCTTTTTTTCATAAATCCCCCTTTCAATTATCCTCACCATTCATTTTTTTTTCTACTAACAATTCTTACATTCATTGCCATGTGATGTGATGAATGATCATGCTTCAATTCTCTTCTGTATCTGCAACTCCAATTAGCCATACATCTTCATCTTCATCTTCATCTTCCATGTCTTCTAAGCGCTCAATTGTTGAGTTTACTCCGGTCTCAGATGAACCTCAACTTCTTACTAAACGGCCCCGAAACGAGGAGGAAGAAGAAGAAGGTGAGGAGTTAGTTCTCGTTGACGCCGATTCCATCGGCCTTCGCCTTCTCGGCTTGCTCCTCCAATGCGCTGAGTTTGTTGCCATGGAGAATCTCGATGAAGCCGCTAATTTATTACCGGAAATCGCTGAGCTTTCATCGCCGTTCGGCTCATCGGCTGAGCGAGTCGCTGCTTACTTCGCTGAATCTCTATCGGCCAGAATCATCAGTTCTCATCTCCGATTTTATTCTCCGCTTAACCTCAAATCCCTAACTCTCACACATTCCCAAAAACTCTTCACCGCTCTGCAATCTTACAATACAATAAGCCCGCTCATCAAATTCTCTCACTACACAGCTAATCAAGCTATTTACCAAGCATTAGAAGGTGAAGATCACGTCCACGTCATCGATCTCGACATCATGCAAGGTCTTCAATGGCCAGGATTGTTCCAAATCCTCTCCTCTCGATCGAGAAAGCTCCGTTCCATCAAAATCACCGGCGTCGGATCCTCCATGGAATTACTCGAATCCACCGGCCGTAGACTCACCGAATTCGCCAACTCATTCGGACTTCCGTTCGAGTTTCAACCGTTTGAAGGCAAAATCGGACACATCACAGACCTGAATCAACTCGGAGTCAAAATTGGGGAAACTACAGTTGTCAATTGGATGCACCATTGCCTGTACGATATCACAGGGAGTGATTTAGGTACGTTCAGATTGTTAACTTTGTTAAGGCCGAAATTGATCACACTCGTTGAACAAGATCTGAGTCACGGAGGAAACTTTTTGGGCCGATTCGTTGAGGCATTGCATTATTACTCAGCCTTGTTTGATGCATTAGGGGATGGATTGAGTGAAGAGAGTGTAGAGAGGCATACGGTGGAACAGCAGTTGTTCAGTAGCGAAATTAGGAATATTGTAGCAGTAGGTGGGCCCAAGAGGACCGGGGAAGTACCCGTAGAGCGATGGGGCGTTGAAATGAAACGAATCGGGTTTTTACCCGTTTCGTTATCGGGTACTCCAGCTGCTCAAGCAAGTTTATTGTTAGGGATGTTTCCGAGAGGGTATACTTTGGTCGACGAAAATGGGTGTTTGAAATTGGGATGGAAGGATTTATCTTTGTTGACTGCATCTGCATGGCAACCATGCGATTAAGATTGCCTTTTTTTTTTTTTGTTATTTCAATTTGTAAGTGTTTCATAAGAAATTGGACATACTAATAAGTGAAGTGCTCTTGTTCACTTTGGTCCTAATTCTGAGGAGGCCCCTACACATATGTAATTGTGTTTATCATTCTTGAAAATTATTCTTTTAAGAAAAATACTAATTGCATTGGGTTAAAGAAATTTTGTCCTTTTCTTTACTAAATAATTGTGGTGGAAGATTCTGTTTTGTCTGTTACATCCTCCCTAATGTCCCTATTACTTGACGACCTTACATATCCTTTAAAAATATTTTAATTAGAGATATATTTCATGATGGTTAAAAACTAAAAGTTGACCAACACAACTTAGAGAAAATTGTGAAAAGACCCCCTCAATCTATAGCCAATTTTTCAATTACACATTCATGTGTCACGCGGTTTTATTATTCCTTAGACTATTTTAAAATGTCGTTATTTACTCCTTAAATTCTGAGGTGACAAAGAATGTGTAGTTCACTGTTTCAGCAAAAGCAAATATTCCATCTATCTCAATTTATGTGATACATTTCATTTTTTTAGAGTCAAACAATTTAAATTTGATCAAAAATTTGAACATGAAATTTATAAACTACGTAAAAAGTACTATAAGTCACGATAAATAATAATTCAAAATATTAAAATTTACTGTCAAAGATAAACTTATTTGAATTTCGAAATCTGAAAAGTGCAACTTAAATTGGGACCGGAGGCAGGGGGGGGGGATAAAACTTTAACTTTATAAGCGTTTCTTTTATTTCATTATTAATTTTAGAGCCGTCAAAATGGGCTTAGCCCATGGGGCGGGTTGACCAACTGAACCCGTTATTGGGGTAAGATTGAGCTAAGATTTTTCAAGCCCATTTAAAACTAGGGCTTATAACCAATGGCAGAGCCATCCTATTATGAGGGGGTTCGGCTTCGGCGGAAAATTATATGATTTATACATAGTTAAAATAATTTTTTAGGTATATATAGTAGATGTCGAACCCCCTTCGGCTACTTCGGGTGTCTATTTTTTTAGATTTTGAACCCCCTTATTAAAAATTCTGGCTCTGCCACTGCTTATAACCCGAACCCATATAAGCCCTTGACCCTTGAAGCTTGATCAGGGTCGGCCCATGAGCCAACACTATTTATTTAATGGTAACTTATTGAAAGTTCATTAGTGTATAAATTAGGAAAAATTACCTAACTACACATCTTTTCTTACCCTATTTTCTATTATTCCCTAACATTTTAAAAAAAATTACAAAAATCCCTCTTTTTTCTCAAATTCTCTCCTTTCCAGATACAATCTTCCAACTCTACTATTTTCCCCCATTTTTCATGCCTATAATCACTCCACTTTATCACCAGTTACCTTCATCACTCATTTATTTTGAATTTTAAATATTTTCTCGCTCCAGTTAATGATTTAAAGTTAATCAAGAGGTAGTTCTTTATTTATTTTTTTCTTTTCAATTTTTTTTTACATGAAAATCATGTGAATAACGAGGTAATTTTTCATACACAAAATAAACCACCCATACATGGACATGACAAAATAAATATGAAGAAACTTAGGACAAAAACGAATCATAACAAGTGTCACTTATATTAATGGGTTTGTATCATATGTTTGTTATGTATGTACAACACTATTTTTAAACTAAATTATTGTTTATCATATTCATAATTTTTTTTTTGTATATGATACATAGCTACGTCAAATTATACGGGCATGATACATAAATACTAATTTATACTAAATGTATCAATCTCAAACCAAATAACTTATGGGCAACAATTACATGCTTAATGTATCCCGTAAAAATACAATACTTATCAATTTAAACGAGATACATAAATAGTAATGTATCATGCACTAATTTTTTAGATATGATACGTAAATTCGAATTTATACTAAATGTATCAATTACATAGCAACTACCACACGTTAATGTATCGATCTCAAATCTAACATCTTATGGGCAACAATTACTTATTTAATGTA